GGAACCGAAATAATATTGTTATCGATAACATTTTTGCTTATAATGTTGTTGTTGAAATAATGCTACAAGATGAGGATCTTGAACTAAAATCTGTCAATGAATGTAGACAAAGAAATTATTGGCCAAAATGGAAAGACGCTATCCAGGCAGAGTTAACTTCACTTGGAAAACGTGAAGTCTTCGGACCCATAGTTCGAACACCTGAAGGCATAAAGCCAGTAGGGTATAAATGGATTTTTGTGCAAAAACGAAATGATAAAAATGAAGTCGTTAGATATAAAGCGCGACTTGTGGCACAAGGGTTTTCCCAAAGGCCTAGAATTGATTATATGGAGACATATTCTCCTGTATTGGATGCTATCACTTTCAAGTATCTCATAAATATGGCAGTGCAAGAAAAACTTGATATGCATCTAATGGATGTTGTTACAGCCTATTTGTATGGATCATTAGACAACGAAATTTTTATGAAAGTACCTGAGGGATTTAAAGTGCCAGAAGCATATAAAAGTTTTCGAGAAACTTGTTCAATAAAGCTTCAGAAATCTTTATACGGATTGAAACAATCAGGTCGTATGTGGTACAATCGCCTGAGTGAATACCTGTTGAAAGAAGGGTACAAGAATGATCCAATTTGTCCTTGTGTCTTTATAAAAAGGTCTGGATCTGAATTTGTTATAATCGCCGTGTATGTTGATGATTTAAATATCATTGGAACTCCTGGGGAGCTTCCAAAAGCAGTATATTGTTTGAAGAAAGAATTTGAAATGAAAGATCTTGGAAAGACAAATTTTGTCTTGGTCTACAAATTGAGTATATGAAAGATGGAATATTTGTCCATCAATCAACATACACCGAAAAGATTTTAAAGCGATTCTATATGGATAAAGCACATCCATTGAGTACCCCGATGGTTGTGAGATCACTTGATATAAAGAAAGATTCATTCCGACCTCATGAAAATGATGAAGAGCTTTTTGGTGCCGAAGTATCATATCTTAGTGAAATTGGGGTATTAATATATCTTGCCAATAATTTTCGACCAGATATAGCTTTCTCAGTAAGCTTATTGGCAAGATTTAGTACTTCGCCAACACAAAGACACTGGAATGGTATTAAACATATATTCAGATACCTCCAAGGGACCATTGATATGGGTTTATTTTATTCAAATGAATCCAAGCCATCATTGATTGGTTATGCAGATGCGGGATATTTGTCTGATCCACACAAAGGTCGATCTCAGACAGGCTATTTATTTACAAGTGGAGGTACATCCATATCATGACGTTCGACAAAACAAACTATGGTTGCTACTTCTTCAAATCATGCAGAGATAATAGCCATTCACGAAGCAAGTCGAGAATGCGTTTGGTTAAGATCTATAACTCAACACATTCAGCAAACATGTGGTCTTTCTTCGAAAGAGAATATTCCAACAATATTGTATGAAGACAATGCTGCATGCATAGCTCAATTGAAAGGAGGATATATCAAAGGAGATAGAACAAAACACATTTCACCAAAATTCTTTTTCACTCATGATCTTCAGAAGAATGGTGAAATAGATGTACAACAAGTTCGTTCAAGTGATAATTTGGCTGATCTGTTCACTAAGGCATTACCAACCTCAATATTTGAAAAGCTGATATATAAGATTGGAATGCGTCGTCTTCGAGACATTAAGTGATTTTTCATCAGGGGGAGTAACTACACGCTGCACTCTTTTCCTTAACCAAGGTTTTGTCCCACTGGGTTTTCCTGGTAAAGTTTTTAATGAGGCAGCAAGCAATGCATATTATAAATAATTATGTACATCCCAATATTTTTTTTGTAAGTTTTTAATGAGGCACATTATCTTACATGGACATCCAAGGGGGAGTGTTATGAATAGTTTGTACATTGGATACTACTTTGGATACTACATTGGATGCTACATTGGATGCTCATGTTGTGAATAACTTAAAGATTAAATTTCCTACTTTATGTCCATCATCTTTACTGTTTATACCTATAAAAGGCCATGTAATTGCAATGGATGATTTTTTTTTTGAAAAAAAGAATCAAAAAATACACCAAAGTAAAAGAAGAAAACACTTTTCTCTTCTTTCTATCTCTTCTTATTTACATTTTACTGCATTACTTTTATTTTATAACATTTTTAATATATTCGTCTTCAACTTTTCGAGATGAATTATTCTCTAATAATTCTTATCTTTTATCATGTTATAAAAAGTAGGATAACTGCTTCCCCCTTTGTAAATTGCAAGAATTTCGAATTCTTGAGTAAAGATAACGTAAAAGGAACCCCCCACATGCACCAAGCATATTATAGGCTTCACTTTGACTTACAAAATCCAATAATAGCAAACCAATCTAATTGCTTATTAATTCTTTTATTAAACTCCAATCATTATGCAGTTGTCTCCATCTTTTCCATTGTATACATGTTCTTAGACCAAAGTTTTAAATGGAAAAGGAATACACTTATTGAACGCAACGTGCAACATAGTTGTTTAAGGGTGTAGAATTATGCTATAACATTAAACGTATTCAGCATCATGCAAATAGGTGTTTAAAAAAACAAGTGGAAAAAAAAAACTTAAAATATTAAAGAGAGTTCAATGGTGGGACAACAAAATGCACCGTCCACTTGTGATTGACTTGAGGATTAAGTCACTACCATACATGGAAGAGACAGCTCATGATCACACTCTCTCCTATATATTAGCCTAATAAAATAAGAATTTATAAATTTAAGTTATATACACTGATATCTAATAATTTACATCATTCGATATTTTTTGATTTATTATAGCAATTTAGTTATCATTTATTTTAGTTTAACAATCACTACTGCTATTAAAGAGAATTACTTGTAATTACATTTTAAGTATTCTAATCGGGTAAATATAATTTATAAGCGAATAAACTATTAATGAAATTCAACATATATATAGTAGTAAATTACTTATTCTTTATTTGTGGTTATACATGTCTGATGTCACATACTTCCGTTGTTTTACTTTATATGAACTTATTTCTTTTTTAGTCCGTATAAAAAAATGATATCTTTTTATATTTGGAAATAATTTATTTTTGTGTAATGATTTATAGTCACACAAAATATATATGCCTCATTTTACACCACAAGTTAAATATTCTTCTTTTTTTGCCCAACAAATAGATTCATACAGGTTGAAACGACGGGAGTATTAAAATTGCTATCTATACCTTTTAAGTTTTTTATTAAAAAAAATGTATATTATTACACAATGTCTAAACTCTTTTCCCATGCCTTTTTGCAACTTCCATGCACTTATAAGAAGCGTAAACAAACCGCTCTCATTTCTTAAAAAGACTTTCCTATCTTTTCATTTGATTTTAATTAGTGACGTTCTTCACCAAAAGTCACTATACCTAACATACCATTTGTTCGTTACACACACTCATATAGCCCATTCTTTCAAGCAAGAAAAAAGAAAGTTTCCACACTATCATCAAAAACTCAACTTTTTCATGGCCAGCCTCAGAAATAATAAGTCAAAACTCCCTATTCTTTTGTTCTTTCTTGTTGTTTTTACACAAATAACCAATGGATTGAATCCAAGAAAACTTGATGAGGTTATTGAGAACAAATGTGGTGGCTGTCCTTGTAACAATCCATGTAATCCACCATCTCCACCACCACCTCCACCAGCTCTGCCACCACCATCCCCGCCGCCACCAAAGAAGCCACCAAGTGGATACTGTCCTCCTCCTCCTCTTCCTCCATCAGGAGGCGGCGGCGGTGGTGGTTATAGTCCAAATCCTCCAAATCCACAATACATATATATGACTGGTCCCCCAGGGAATTTATACCCTGTTGATCAATATTTTAATGGTGCCAAAAGGACATTCTCTAGTGGTTTTTCACTTTTGATCGGTGGATTTTTCTTGGGATTACTTGCTTTGAGGTAAATTTTAAGAGGAAATTCAGAATTTTAAGGAGGATTGATCAAATTTTATTAGTATGAAGAAGAAGAAGAAGAAGAAGAGCTGCAGATTTAAGACGAGAAATTTAGTGGCTACGAATATTTTAATGTTTTTACGTTTGTGCGTACATAGCAGTTATGATCTTATCTTGATATCCATCTGTTTTCTAGTTCCAATAACCAGTTTAGTGTCTTTTCACTTTGTTTCTTTTGTAAAATTTTCTACTCAGTACTCTTTCCCTTCAATTAGTAGGAGAATATTAAAAATTACTTAAGTATAATTAGGTCTCATCAATTGTTTTCCAATTTCTAAATGTCAGTGAAGATAGAGGAAGGAACCCAGAGACGAATTATTTAAGAAGAATTAACTCAAAATAGTCGTTCACCCAACCACTTAAACTGAAAATAGTCGATTAATGTAATATATGTGCATAGTTTATGTATTATACCCAATATAATATATATATATATNAATGAAACCGACTATTTGTGTAAACATCCTATTATTTAAGCCAATTAGCAAAAGGAACAATTGTGCACCATACCCTCATTTTAGGTCACGTTTTAACTTGTGCCCGCTTTGCAAAAAAAATTGCAAGCGTACCCACTTTTTCGCGTAACTTCAGCATACGGGGCTGAAGTAGCAAAGGCAATCACGCAAAACTTCAGCATTCTAGTAGACGGGACTGAAGTAGCAAGTGTGCTGAACCAAGTGTGCTGAAGTTTTTGTTTATAATTGCTGAAGTTTTTGTTTTTGTAACTGGGGAACTTCAGCTCTAGAGATGAAGTTTTTGTTTTTGTAACTGGCGAACTTCAGCTCTAGCGTTGAAGTTTATGTTTTGTAACTACCGAACTTCACCTCTAGAGCTGAAGTTTTTGTTTGTAACTGGCGAACTTCAGCTCTAGCGTTGAAGTTTATGTTTTGTAACTACCGAACTTCACCTCTAGAGCTGAAGTTTTTGTTTTTGCAACTGGCGAACTTCAGCTCTAGAGATGAAGTTTTTGTTTTTGTAACTGGCGAACTTCACCTCTAGAGCTGAAAATTTTGTTTGTAACTGGCGAACTTCAGCTCTAGAGCTGAAGTTTTTGTTTGTAACTGGCGAACTTTAGCTCTAGAGTCTTCTTCCCTTCATAATGATACTGTCACGAAAACATAAAAATAGTTGCTTTACTGTCACATAAAGCATTCAATAGCAAGGATACCTCATCTTATAACTCTCTAATCGGACCAATTATTTAGATGATTAGTTCAACAACTAAACCATCCAAAGGAACTGTTAATCGATATTTGATAAAGCAAGAAACTTTTTAACAATTTACATAAACCAATATGTTGTTGCTAATGCCATGCATTATAAAATAGGATCTGTAGCTTCGTCATTTAACAGATCATCTATTGTCACCATTCAATCAAGCAAGGACCTTTAGTCACGGACTTCAGAAAAAGGTTGAGGGCGGATATAACTTTGAGGAGGAAAAAGGAGGCTGAAATTGTTTAAAAATTGGGTACAAGTTAAAAGTTTTAAAAAAATAGGTATAGGTTAAATGGGGGCGACCAAACAGGGCGCCCCATGCAATTTTTACACCATAATTTGGTTAGCTGTCATAAAAAAAATGTTGACCAATAAAATCAGTGGAAAGATCAAGTTCTTTTATCGCGTGGTTAATTAGTAGTTTGGAGAAGTTTTAGGTTATAGCATGTTACTTAGTTACCATCTTTTAGGTTACTAGTTAATTCTATCTGAAGTAAACTATGACTACATTTTAAGTGATCATTTAATTTGTATAAGCATTAAATAACTTAAGTATATAAATATTTTTTATATGAGACCATAGAATTTAAACTCTATCCTTTACCATCAAGATTTTGATGTCAGAGTTTGTCAGCAGTAGAAAGTTGGTGGGGAATGAGATCAACCTTGGTTAAAGTACCAAATTCTGGGACCCACCTATCCTTCAACTATAGAAAAAGATATATAAAATTTGAAGTTTATGAATTCTGAATTTATTATTATAATTGTAACTGAATTTATAATTAAATATTTATATATATTTAATAAAATTTAAAATAACTTAAAAATTATTGAATTTGTCTGAATCCGTGCTTAATGTTGTGGCTCTTCTCCTATCCCTGCTTGAGTAAAGCTTAGGCTAGAACATCTTTTGATGTGTCAATCCAGCAATATGTAGTGGTTAGGCCTTTATTTTTGGCTAGTTTTGCAGCAATCTGGTTAGGTGGTTAGATCGGTAAGTGATGAAATCGTCCAGTTGGTTAGCTAGTTTTCCACACTATTACCTAACCACATGTGATCATGTTGTTATGTATAGGTTTAAATCTCTCATCTTTGGATTTTTTTTTTTTTTTGGGACAAATATTCGTGCTTTAAGCCAAATTATAATGTCTCTTTCCTTAAGACTGAATTCTCAATTTCTTTACTAAATCTACAAGAAATTCCATCTTCTTGTTGTTGTTTTTTTTTCTTTTTCTTTTGGTTTATGAATTTTTTTCAACAGAAGAAAAAGGTGATCACTATTCTTCTACTTTAGGGGTATTTTCCAGCTTGTTGCATAAAGACTATCACTTTAAAATCTCAAAAAAGGAAACATTATGGACAATGTTATAAATATATTATATTATGGATGTTCATTTAGTACTCCGTTG